CCGGAAGTTACTTACTTCCGGGTTCGCCAACCAACCGGTTCGCAGGGACTGCCGTGAACCGGTTGACACCCACCCCTGATGTGTCCATTCAGTAGCAGGGACCTGAGTTTGACTCGAAGGTCAGCATATCTTTAGCCCAATCTCAGATGTGACCCAAGGCCTTTGTAACACTAAGGTTTTGCATTTTTTTTCCCAAGCAGAAACTTTATTCAACAAACCAGATCAGATTCTGGTCCCTCTCTGAAAAATATTTCTTTTCCTGGAAAGAGAGCTTTGATTTTAGATTCTCATAGGAAAAGAACTTTTGACCCATTTTAAAACAAGGAATAAACTTGTTTCTGCAGTATGCAGAGATTCAGGACAACAATATCCTATAACTTCAATATCTTAATACAACTTCCAATATCTTACAACTTCATATGGCTCTCTCCTCAAATGTAAAGCTACTAATTTGATACTGAGGAATTCTTCATTTGGATTCTTCTTCAATTCAAGCAAGTCTTGCTGAAGCAACTGGCTACAATCTTTGCTGAGGAATCCACTGGATGTCTTCTTATCCAGCTGTAAGTTGGATTGCATAATTAATCAAGAAGAATTGTGATTCACTGACATAGAGTTGAAAGTAAATCTGGAAGAGAGAAAGTTATATCTTGATTAGAACCAGACTATGGTTTTGAAAATCCCTCCCTTTCAAGTGAGCATTTTTGTTCACTTGAAAAACAACTCTCTGCATTTAGCTTGCACTGCATTCGTATTTCTTTTGCATCCCAATGTAGCTGACAGTAATTTCTTTATGTATTCATCCTGTACTAATTCACTCTAGGAATATGTGAATATTAATGGAGCTAAATTACATAAAAAAGGAAAGCTAATGTCCTATGAAATGGGTATATAGATTCCTTTCCATCACATAGATTCCTATGTGAATCCAGGAAGGAGATAACATAAGAATTGGGCTCAGATCTACTCTCCGTTTGACCTTGCATACTTCTAGATCAGGAGTGTCAAACTCAATGCCTGGGGACTGGATCTGGCCCATGTGGTGCTTAGATCTGGCGCATGGGGCATGTCCTGGACTGTTGTAATATAGTTCCTTGTGTAGGCGTGTGTCCTCCATGGCCTAGTTCATACTAGGGCCTGCAGAGCCACGCTGAATCACACAGGAGAAAACAAACTCTAGAACTCCATAATATCGTGTGATCCGGAATGTACACAGCAGAAAAGCATGTTATACCTTTACAATTCAGCCNTACACCCTGGCATATAAGTACATACAAATATTAATCACTGTCCATCTTGAATACATAACGGAAAGAGGAAGCTTGAGAGTTCCCAAGGTTGATACTGTATGGAACCAAATTGTGACTGAATCTGGATATTGTTGGGGCTGCCTCCGTCCAATTCCTAGAAAAGAAAAACCCTTGGCTCCACAGATTGAGGGAAAAGGTATTTTTATTAGGAGAGAACTGCATGCAACAAGTTACAGGCAAGATCTGAGGCAAAAGTGCATGAAGCAGCAAATTGTAGAGCCTTGGTAACTAGGCAACCAGAAGGCAACCACTGGCCAGGAAATGTTTTGAGAAAGTCTGCTTCAAGTGCATCATCTCTCGCTGCTGCATACCAAAGCTAGAAGAAATGACCTTGAAGAAGCAAAGCACACTTCCCTTTATTCATATGGTTTCTCCCGTGTGGATCCTTTTATGCTTGGTAAGAGCAGAATTCCACCTAAAGTCCTTTCCACATTCCACACATTGATATGGCTTCTCTCCTGAGTGGATCCTCTTATGGGAATTAAGATTACTGCTACAAGTAAAGCTTTTTCCACACTCCATGCACGTATAAGGTCGTTCTCCTTTGTGATTCCTTTGATGTCTTATAAGAGAGTAATAATGACAGAAGGTCTTTCCACACTCCATGCATCGATATGGCTTCTCCTCTCCATGGGTAGTTTTATGGTGAATCAGAGAGTATTTCCTACTAAAGCTTTTTCCACACTCCATGCATTGATATGGCTTCTCTCGTTTGTGGGTCTTCTTGTGGGAATCAAGAAGACTGGTACAAATAAAGATCTTTCCACACTCCTTACATTGATATGGTTCCTCTTTTGTGTGGATCCTCTTATGGGAATTAAGACTACTGGTACAAGTAAAGGTCTTTCCACATTCCATGCATTGATATGGTCTTTCTCCTTTGTGAATCCTTTGATGTATTATAAGAGAACGATTATAGCTGAAGGTCTTTCCGCACTCCACACAATGATATGGCTTCTCTTTTGTGTGGATCAACTTATGGGTATTAAGATGACTGGTACAAGTAAAGCTCTTTCCACACTCCATGCATTTATAAGGTCTTTCTCCTTTGTGATTCATTTGATGCCTCATAAAAGACTTAGAATAACGGAAGGTCTTTCCACACTCCATGCATTGATATGATTTCTCTGTTCTGTGGATCTTCTTATGGGAGGCAAGATGACTACTACTACTGAAAGCCTTTCCACACTCCATGCATTTATAAGGTCTTTCCCCTTTGTGATTCCTATGATGTACTATAAGAGAGCTATAATAAGAGAAGGTCTTTCCACATTCCCCACATTGATATGGCTTGTCTCCTGTGTGGATCCTCTTATGTGAATTAAGACGACTGCTACAAGGAAAGGTCTTTCCACATTCCATGCATTGATATGGTTTTTCTCCTGTGTGGATTCTCTTATGGGAATTGAGACTACTACTGAAAGTAAAGGTCTTTCCGCACTCCATGCATTGATATGGTTTCTCTCCTGTGTGGATCCTCATATGGGAATTGAGACTACTACTACAAGTAAAGGTCTTTCCACACTCCATGCATTTATAAGGTCTTTCTCCTTTATGATTCCTCTGATGGACTATAAAAGAGCTATAATAAGAGAAGGTCTTTCCACATTCCTTGCATTGATATGGCTTGTCTCCTGTGTGGATCCTCTTATGGGAATTAAGACAACTGCTCCAAGGAAAGGTCTTTCCACACTCCATGCATTGATATGGTTTCTCTCCTGTGTGGATTCTCTTATGGGAATTGAGACTACTACTGCAAGTAAAGGTCTTTCCACACTGCATGCATATATAAGGTCGTTCTCCTTTGTGATTCCTTTCATGGATTATAAGAGAGCTATAATAAGAGAAGGTATTTCCACATTCCATGCATTGATATAACTTCTTCTCTGTATGGATAGTTTTATGCTGAATCAGAACTCTTTTTGTACTAAATGTTTTTCCACACTCCATGCATTGATATAGCTTCCCTTTCTCCCCTTTTGAATGGACCGCTTGGCATTCCTCCTTGTAATTTTTATTCTCCTGCCTATTATAGCCTTTAAAAAGAAAAATGAAAATTGTAGTAAGAATAGGAGAACAATCAAACCTTTTCTTCTAAAATTTAGCCAAAAAATCATTAATATACAGTATTTTGGCTGCTTTGGTGGCAAACATGAAGATTCCAAACTAAGGTTTTAGCAAAGACCCATTTCCAAATATATCCCTACTGATTCTCATGTAACAGGATTGGATCACATCACAATGAATATAAGACATAATCCTGATCTAATCTTTGACCTGGGACAATTCCATGGTGCCACAAACTCCTAAGGTCCATTGGACACGGTACCATGCTGGAACAACAACATACCTACCAACTCCCCAGCTTTATTGGAAGTCTCACCCCCCTTGTCTGCATATCAGAATTGTTGAAAGCCAAGGGGAATTTCTGAATGGCAATAACTCCCCACCCTCAATTAGGCGGATGTCAAACTTTGTACACAACTGGGCACATCTCAGAGAAGGGACATCCCACTCAGGACCCATGCAGTCTTGGTTATAGCAGCTCAGGCCCATCGGGAACCTAGAGCAGAGATTCAGGAGTGAATACCAACCCTGGAAGGCAGGACCTTGGTCAAGAGAGGCCACCCCATCCCTATCTGCAGCCTATCCCTCAGATTCTTGCTAATATATTCTGTGGTATGGGAATGAATATTTTATAGTTTATGAGCAGAAAGCATTAAAAATACATTTCCTTTTTGTAAAAAGAGAGGCTATGCAGATTGCAAGGTTTTATTTCAATAAAATTCCTTCCTCCATAGTCAGCTTGATCAAATGGTTAAAGGATCAGGCTGGAAACTAGGTCAATGAGTACTAGTTCAGCCTTAGGAATCAATACTGGGTGGGTAACTTTGGGCCAGTCTTTCTCAGCTCAACCCAGGGTTGCTGTTACAGGGAAAACAGGAGGAGGAAGGAATATTGAGTTTGTCCACTGCCATTATTATTTAGAGCCGAGATGGCACAGTGGTTAAGAGTGCGGTACTGCAGGCTATTTCAGCTGACTACTAGCTGCAGCTCAGCAGTGAAATATCACCGGCTCAAGGTTGACTCAGCCTTCCATCCTTCCAAGATGGGTAAAATGAGGAGCCAGGTTGTTGGGGGAAATAGGCTGACTCAGTAAACCGCTTAGAGAGGGCTAAAAAAGCACTATGAATCGCTATATAAGATTAAGTGCTATTACTAAGTGCTATTTACAAAATATAAAGGCAGGGAAAAATAAATGATTTTTAAAAATCACTTATTTCAGTTAACCTAATTTTTAATAACATCTAAGCCCCCGTCTCTGACCCCATGAGTTTTCTACGTTTTGGAGCACTGGTAGGGGTTCTTACCCACAGAAAACAGATTCCTGGAATTTTCCAGCATGACTTCTCCATGGAGCGCTTTTTGATCAGCGTCCAGTTGAGACCACTCCTCCTCGGAGAAATACACAGACACTTCTTCAAAAGACACAACAGCCTAAACAAGGAAACAAGTTTTCCTTTTAACAGATAGCCCCAATTCAAGGAGAGAGAACCAGTGAACAAAATGGGCATCTTGTGCAGAATTCAGAATGAGATCTCGGCGCTTTTGACCGACAGCACAACTGAAGCATTGGATCATGTTGGAAGTATTTGGAATGCCTTTCAGTATAGCTAACTGTTGTAGCCCAGCAGCAGCCATTGGAGCTGCCACCAGACTCCGACAGCGAGGCGCCCTATGAGTAGGCTCTGGAGGATGTGAAGGACCCTGGACAGGGTGCCGACTCAGAGCAGGGCACAGAGAGGCTGGTTCATCACCAGGAAGCGCCTGCGCCTTGGACCAGTGAGGAGGAGACAAGGGAGTGTGATCCCGATGTCATGCATTGGAGCAGTGGGGAGGAGCCAAGGGAGGTGGTCCTGGATGTCCGGCAATGCAGAGAGCAACTACACAGTTACAAAAGATAATTGGACCCAGGTGATTGTAATTAGGCTCCCCTCAAGATTGTATTTAAAGAGAGACTGGGAGGAGCCTGGTTTTGCAGGGTTCAACGTCATTCCTAACGCTAGAGAAGCTGTTATCTGTCGAAGTCCGAGTTGCTGCCAAGGTTCTTATCTGTTTGTTACGCTTGGCTATCAGCCACCGAGGTTTTGGTTTCTTGCTAATAAAGTGATGTGAAATTCCAGTTAAGCTTGTCTCGGCATTTGTTACTGGACAGAGGAGGGGGTCAGAACAGATAACTAAAATAGTTTTCTTGCTCAATTGGTAGTTTGGTCTTAAATTCAATAGTTATCAGTGGCTCTAATTCTTCCTAGGGTAGGCGCAACAAAATACTGGCAAAACCCACCTGCCATTTTTGCCAATGGCTTACTTTATCAACAGGGGCAACAGTAACCCAACTTCACATCTTCATGATGGTGTTGGAAGAGCTTGTAACAGGATATCTCTATGGAGATTCTAATATCAGATTTGTATTGCTTAAAAACAGGAATTTATTACATTGAATTCTAGAACAAAATGAAACCCATCCAAGATTCATGGGCCTTTTCCGATGTTTCTTCTCTTTACCTGAAATAGTGGTTCAGCCAATTCTTCAGCTCCACCACAAAGAGGAGGTGATTCAAAAAATTCCAAGGACGGCTTTCTACTCTCTGTGAAAAAGAGAAAAAAGGCGGAAGCAGATTAGTTAGACTCTTAGAGACCTTCCAATCAAGGGGAGCAAATGAATTAGCTAAATGTTGAATCTCACATCACACAGAAAGAACTTTTCTTACCTGGAGTGGTGTCCTGGCTTTGAGCTTTGCATAAGGTCTCTCTGAAGAGCAGCTCTTGAGAAGATTTGAATGAATCCTTCCTCCCCTTGGGATACTCAGTCATAGCTTCCAAGGATTTCTGGACATGATGTGGTACAAGAAACAAAGGAAGAGCACAGAGGTAGAAATGAATTATTATACTGAACTTTCAAACTTGCAGACCCCAATGTCCATTTGTGAAACTCAAAAGAGAATGGAAGAATTGCCCCAAACACATCCTCTGGAAGAAAAATGGAACAACTGGCCTTAGGTCTGTGATGGTGAAGCTATGGCTAGTTCAGCTCCACTGCGCACGGATGTGTCTCCTGCCGGCCATCTGATTTTGGGGGCTCTGTCGTGCATGTGCAGGGAGGGTCGAATGTGTATGGGTTGTGCATGCATGCGTGGAGAGCAGGAGGAGCTCACACGTGTGGGGAGTGGGGGAGTCACACATGCATGTGTGGGGGAGCACAAGGGGTCACACGCAACGACAGAAAGGTTAGCCATCACCGCCTTAGGTATTAATAATCCCAGAAAACGCTACCAAAAAGGAATTGACAAATTCAGAGAGATTCTCTTTAGAGCTGAAATGATTACATTCTCATACTTGCATCTTTTCCGATTCCTGGGCCAGGAGGAAGCCTTCGGCCAGGTCCACCGCCTGGGAACTGGTTTGTGCTCCACACTCCCGCACCCATTGCTCCATCTCTGGGGGAAGGACAGCCAGGAACTGCTCCAGGAGCACCAGGTCCAGCATCTGAGCCTTGGTGTGTCTTTCTGGCTGCAGCCATTGACGGCAAAGGCGGTGAAGCTGACTGCAAACATCTCGGGGACTCTTCCCCTCCTGGAACTGCACTTTTCTGAAGTCACAGCACTGAATCTCTGAATTGTTGACTTCTTCTTTTTGGCTCTTCTGCCCAAGACTTGCCCCATTCTTCCCACAGCTCCAAGGCTGAGTAGCTGGAGGGATTTTTCCAACTCCTGCATCTGCTGGGTGTTGTCCCTCCATCTTTTCTCTGGTCTCTAATCCAGCTTCAAAATGGATGGATGTATCTCCCATGTTTTATTAATCAGAGGATGTCTGGCCATTCAACCCACTTCCCACAGAAGATACTTTGGACTCCAAGAGAACCAGAAAAGATTTCCAACATATATCTGAAATGGAAAACAAAAGAAACTTCCAGAAATGCAGGCTGACCAACTTAACAACAAAAACCTAAATAGGAATTATTTTGAACCCAACAATATCTGGAAAGAGGGAGGAAATCTTATTAGTTGACGGACTAACATATCTTTGTGTGGAAAAAACCAAACCCTTCTGGATCAACTTTAAAACATGTGTAAAGTCTTTCCTCCCCAATCTTCCAAAGAAAGCAGGACTCTTAAAAGGTTCCAAAAGGAGCTTTTATTGAAAGGCTTGTGATAGCAAGGGGTCTAGACAGGAACTAAATTGTCCCACTTAAAAAAAAACCAGCAATTTAAAGCAGTGCGAACAAAACCCCTCCCATAGAGTACAGCAATGCAGGAAACAGAAACTTACTGCACATCAATGCAAGAAACAGAAACAGAAACTTCATATAGAGATCCCTCTAATCCCCCGGCTCCCATCAGAAGACCAGTGTCCCAACCGAAATATATGGGACCTGACAAGATGTTCTTGTTTTCTGATTCCTACTTATTTATTCAAATAATTTTGATTGTACAAACAATCTCGGTACCATTCAGATCATAAATAGCAATAGCAATAGCAATCTATTGCTATAGATCATAAATGTCTCAGGTCCCAAACAGACATTGAGATGACTGGATATCTAAATCGATTTTATAGGTTTCAAATCAATACTTGGAACTTCCAGTATAACGTTAGATAGCAGAACCCCGTTAATCTCCTTGTATATGCAGTAACCCATTAACCTCCTGGCCCAAACCTCTATGGGTAGCTGAGAAATCGCAATCAACAAATCACGATTCAATGCGTGAATAATAATACCGGAAGATAAACCAGCTACGATTTGATTCAGGCTNCGCAATCAACAAATCACGATTCAATGCGTGAATAATAATACCGGAAGATAAACCAGCTACGATTTGATTCAGGCTTCTCCTGGAAAGAGGTTTCTCATTTTTCCCCTAATCCTGAATGGCTCCGATTTTTCTGGCGGTCCCGATTTTCCCCTTGGAGGCTTTTGATGTCTTCCCTGCCTAGTCCGTGCATGCACAGGGGCGTCAGGGGAACATGGGACAAGGGGCTCCCCACTTTCCAGGACTCACAACTTGATGAAGTTTTGCCTGTCTCCGCGCACAGTCCAGCCCGTGGAAGAAAAACTCCCCCGCACTTACTGAACTCCGGAGTCAGGTCTCGATCTCCCTCCGTGTAAGGCTTCCTTGCAGCCTCCTTGAAAGGCTCAGCCTAAGGCTCGTAGCTAGGGGCGGGGGAGGAGCAGAATCGGGCTCCGTAGACGCGCTTTCACTCTTCTCTGCAAAATGCCCCGCGAGCGTCTCGGATCTGGTGAAAGAGCGCATGCTCAGTTCCCTACTGAAGCGGGTGAATGCCGGCCAGCATTTCCAAAGGATACCTGGGGAGCCCCCTGGTGGATCCTGCGTGCAACGCCAGATGGACCTTGTCAAGACAGATGGACCCTGTCAGGGCGTAGGACAGGTTACATGCGGGCCTCGGATGATGGGCATTGGAGTACTCTGACATCGCCTGTCTGCAGCAGGCAGCAATGACTAGACTTTCCTTTTTTTCAAAATGTCTAAGAACGATCTGTGATCTTGTGAATATTGATAAAATCTCAAAAGGAACAGGAGCCTCCCATTGAAGCCCAGGTTGTCTCATGTGGTTGTTGGCAAAGTCAGCCCTGAAGTGTGGGAAGATAAGAGGACTGGCAGAGTCACAGGATGGGAAGTGAAGGCTTAGGACAATTAAGATTTATATTGATGTTTCATTTCCATTATTTCAGCTGCCTTTTCAATTTCATGCCTCTGGGCAGCTAACAGAGGTTCAAAACAGCAAGAGGCGGCAGCAAAAATAGGAAGAATCCAGAAGAAACAATCTTGCGTGAAAAAGGGGAATCAAAAGGAAACAAGTTTCAAAATGGAGAGAAAGCTCAAACTCATGGAAGTTTTAGAAAGTTTTACCTCAAAACAACCCGCCATGATGGAGAGATGAATGGGGGAATGGTGTCTCATTGGTGACTGCAGGAAAAGTGGAATTACAAAATCCAGGAAGGGAAATCTTGAGAAGTACACATAAAGTTCAAATTCCATGAGGCAAAAAAGAAAAAAATGCCTTTGTTTTTGGTTTTTCAGTAGGGAAAATAGTCCAAGAAATGGGAGTAGGAAGACTCCCAAGGTTTGAGGAGATTAGTATGAATTTGGAGGCGACAGTGCAAGAACAACAAAGAGTTTTATCTACATTAATGAAATAAAGAAATGGGGAAATACAGCTAAGAAGCAATTGATAAAGAATGGAATTAACATCTCTCTCTTACCCAAAGCCTGGTTCTCCTCAGCGCATTTTTCTCAGTCTTCTATAATGGAGAAAATTGACATAATAGCTACCAAACCAAGATTGGTGCCCTTTTACGAGTTTAATCCAGAACCATAAATGAGCACTATTTGAATAAATATCTTTAAACTTGCCCAAGTCTATGAAAACCCAAAGTACTCACCCGCTTCCAAATAGTTCCAAAATTTTTCCTTTTTAATTTAGTAGAAAGAATTTAAAAATGTCTCAGAGAAGTGATATTTAATTTTATTTAAATCCAAAGCTATTTTTTTCAAATCTAATTAAACTGCAATTAACCTTAATTAAATCCAATTTATTTAAATTGAATTTAGAGATTTCCTAATTATTCTTATATCTTAGAAAGGCAAAATAGTAATAGACAGAGCACTTAAACTTATATACCAATTCATAGTGCTTTACAGCACTCCATAAACGTTTTAGAGGGTCAGCACATTGCTCCATTCAATCTTGATCCCCATTTTACTGGCTTCCAAAGAATGGAAATTTGTATCAACCTTAAGCCGGTCAGAATCAAACTCCTGGCAATCAGCAGAATTAGCTTGCAATACTGCATTTTAACCACTGCACCACCATGGCTTCTAATGCTTCAAAAATGTATTTGAACATGGATTTCACTTCTTATTCTAGTTTTTTGGGGGAGTGGAATTCATCATTCTAAAACTTTTTCATAGGATACATTGATATATATGTGATTTTGTTCTATTTCTATTGCTTGAATTATGTTGAATTCCCAGACTAGTACGCAACTTTCAACAGTTCATCTAGTAATAATGTGATAATTGTGTTTAGTATTTTGGAATAATGAAAAACAATCAGGAATAGTTCGACATGCACAAAATGATGATTTGAACCTGACAAAAACCCACCTTGTTCTGGTTTGCACTAGAAAGGTAATTTATACATATATATCTAAGGTCTACAATTTATTTGGATTATTATTCAAATGGTTCTTGTTTGAGATTTTAGTCAATGATAGGTAATCCTGAATTTACAACAGTTTATTTACTGATTGTTAAAGTCACAGCAGCACTGAAAAAAGTGACATGACCATTTTTCAAACGTATGACTGTTGCAGCACCTCCATAGTCATTTGATCAAATTTCAGATGCTTGGCAACTAATTCATATTTATGACAGTTGAAGTGTTCCTGGACATGTGATCACCTTTTGGGATTTTGTGACAAGTAAAGACAATAGGGAAACCAGATTCATTTCACAACAGAGTTACTAACTTACCAACAGTGATTCACTGTGGCAAAAAGTCATAAAATGGGGCAAAAATCACTTAATAACTGTCTCTCTCAGCAACTGAAATTTTGGACTCAATTGTAGACATACGCCGAGGACTACCTGGATTTCTGTTGAACCACTTCTCACACTTCCCTTTATTATACAATATAATACAATACAATACAATAGCAGAGTTGGAAGGGACCTTGGAGGTCTTCTAGTCCAACCCCCTGCCTAGGCAGGAAACCCTATACCGTTCCAGACAAATGGCTATCCAACATCTTCTTAAAAACTTTCAGTGTTGGGGCATTCACAACTATTATTTTTTTAAGTATACTTTTTATTTTTTTATGAAAATGTCAAATAAATGCATGAACAGTGAAGCACCTGGGTGCCATGCATTCTAATCCAAATGAAACTAATCAGATTAAACATAATTATTACATTCAAATAATTTATATATCTCTAATAACAATACACATTTATGCTAGGTTGCAATCTATTTTTCAATTATTCCACATTTTAACATTATTTTCATTTTATAAGATAAAATGTATACATTAATATTCCCTTTATATTTATCACTTATTCTAGCTTTTAACCATATCACCCTTTATTGAGAACTTTTCATTTCTTTCCTAACTTCTAGCAATTCAAAACAACAAAAAACAGAATCATCTACATCATCTCTTGCCCGCTTCATATTTTAAATTGCTATGCTTTAAAAGATAGGGAAAAGGAAAAGCGAATCAAAACAACAATAAACAATAAAATAATCTATCCATCATTTCTTGCCCACTTCAATACTTTTAATTGCTTCTTTTTTTTTTAATTTGCCTCACAAATTCCTCTCTTAAATCTCTGTCTATGTCTATTTCTTGAATGTCCAATCTACCACCTCTACCCTCTTACACTGCCTAATTTTTAAAATTTCTACCCAGGTCCCTGCCTCCATTTAACATGTCGTCCAACTCACTAACCCTGGTTTAATTCATCAATCACTATTATTTTCATTGTTAACTCCTCTTTGTCTTCTTTCTTCTTCATTTCTTCTTTTGACTCCTCCCTTTCCTGGGCACCTGGTCTGTACTCATCATTCCTTGTATGGTATTTTCCATTTTTTCCATGATCCCTTTAAAATCATTTATCCATAATGTATTTTGTATTTTGCAAGAGTAAACCCATCTCCTGTATAATTCCACTCATTCTTATTTTTTGTTTTTTAGAAAAAAGAGAAATTAACTTTTATCCAACAGTTCAAGAACTATTTATTCAGTCTTTGAATTATCCTTCAGGTAGTCGACTAGTCCCATTTCTTTATGTCTCATGGGTTAACAATCAGTTCCATTTAAGTAGTCCCAGAAGTTATCAAAAGCCCCTTTATGTCCTTTTTTACAAATTCAATCATCTAGTATAATATTCAGATATCTCTAATTGAATAACTTCCACATTTTCATATTTGGATCTCCAATACTCATAGAGTAACTAAAAATAATCCAATGGAAAGACGTTCAGTGGAAGGCTTGTTATTTTCCTTTTTATCAACAGGTGGCACTCTCCTCTTAGATTTCAGTTTACAAGTCTGTCCTGGTTTTGGTTATAAAACAATTGAAAAAGCAGAATGAGTTTTGTAAATATATAATTCCAACATTTAAGAATGCCTTCCCAGTACCGCTTCTTCCCGGTTTAGGAATCCAATTTTCTATTTATTTCAAAGTCTATTATTTACTCTCGTGCGCCTCCATTTCCGGTTAGGCATTATTTCAAAGTGCCCCAAAATGCTTAAATGCAACTTTAATACATAGTTCTGGGCAGATGGTTCGAAATTATTTCTTGGGGTTAAATTTAGTGCAGGAAAAAAAATCCTCTCCCCCAGTTCCAACACGGCTCACCTTCTTCTCTCCAGCACCATTCTTAGCTGTTATACTTCATTGCAGCAGCCATATTTAGTCTACTTCTTCTTGACGTGGCTGAGAGGGGGAAAAAAACCCAGGGCCAGACAGAAGAGTTGCAACTCTCCCCGACCTCACAGGGTGCCCCTCTTTGCTTCATCACTCCTTCAGATTGGGGTTGGCTCCCTCCGGAGCCCACAAACATGAAGAATTCAGCACAGGAAAGGGAACACCCATTCATCAGTGTCGGATTGCCGCGATGTCAATTGGAAGTCCCACACTTCCCTTTATTGATATGGTTTCTCCCCGGTGTGGATCCTTTTATGTGTGGTAAGAACATATTTCCTACTAAAGCTCTTTCCACACTCCATACATTTATATGGCTTCTCCCCTGTGTGAATCTTCTTGTGGGAATTCAGATGACTGCTACTAGCAAAGGTCTTTCCACATTCCTTGCATTGATATGGCTTCTCTCCTGTGTGAATCGTCTTGTGGGAATTAAGACTACTGCTACTAGCAAAGGTCTTTCCACACTCCATGCATTGATATGGTCTTTCTCCTGTGTGGATCCTTTTATGGATGGTAAGAGCAGATTTCCACCTAAAGAACTTTCCACATTCCACACATTTATATGGTTTCTCTCCTGTGTGGATCCGCTTGTGGGAATCCAGATGTCTGCTGCAACTAAAGCTCTTCCCACACTCCAAGCATTGATATGGCTTTTCCTCTGTATGGATAGATTTATGGTAAATCAGATCTCTTTTCCTACTAAAGCTCTTTCCACACTCCATGCATTGATATGGCTTCTCTCCTGTGTGGGTCTTCTTGTGGGAATTAAGACTACTGGTACAAACAAATGTCTTTCCACACTCCTCACACTGATATGGTTTTTCTTTTGTGTGGATCTTCTTGTGGTAATCAAGATTACTGGTAAAAATAAAGGTCTTTCCACACTCCATGCATTGATATGGCTTCTCTCCTGTGTGGATCCTCTTGTGAGAATTCAGATGACTGCTAGTAGCAAAGGTCTTTCCACACTCCATGCATTGATATGGTCTTTCTCCTTTGTGAATCCGTAGATGGATTGTAAGAGAACGATTATAACTGAAGGTCTTTCCGCACTCCACACAATGATATGGCTTCTCTATTATGTGGATCATCTTATGAGTCTTAAGATGACTGGTACAAGTAAAGCTCTTTCCACACTCCATGCATTTATAAGGTCTTTCTCCTTTGTGATTCATTTGATGCCTTATAAAAGACTTAGAATAACTGAAGGACTTTCCACACTCCATGCATTGATATGATTTCTCTGTTCTGTGGATCTTCTTATGGGAGGCAAGATGACTACTACTACTGAAAGCTTTTCCACACTCCATGCATTTATATGGTTTCTCTCCTTTGTGATTCCTATGATGGACTATAAGAGAGCTATAATAAGAGAAGGTCTTTCCACATTCCTTGCATTGATATGGCTTGTCCCCTGTGTGGATCCTCTTATGGGAATTAAGACGACTGCTACAAGGAAAGGTCTTTCCACACTCCATGCATTGATATGGTTTCTCTCCTGAGTGGATCCTCTTATGGGAATTGAGACTACTACTGCAAGTAAAAGTCTTTCCACACACCATGCATTTATAAGGTCTTTCTCCTTTGTGATTCCTTTGATGGATTTTAAAAGAGCTATTATAGGAGAAGGTTTTTCCACATTCCATACATTGATATAACTTCTCCTCTGTATGGATAGTTTTATGCTGAATCAGAACATTTTTCCTACTAAAGGTCTTTCCGCACTCCATGCATTGATATGGCTTTTCTCCTGTGTGAATCCTCTTATGAGAATGGAGACTACTGCTATGAGTAAACATTTTTCCACACTCCATGCATTGATATCGCTTCCTTTTCCCCTTTTTCGAATGGATCACTTGGCATTCCTCCTGCCCCTTATAGCCTTAAAAAAGAAAAAGAATAGGAAAAGTAGCAAGAATAGGAGAAAAATCAAACCTTTTCTTCTGAAATTTAGCCAAAGAATCATCATTATATTTTGGCTGCTTTGGTGGCAAACATGAAGATTCCAAACTAAAGTTTTAGCAAAGACCCATTTCCAAATGTATTCTTACTAATTTTCATCTAACAGGATTTGATTACATCACAATGAATATAAGACACACCCCTGATCTAATCTTTGACCTGGGACTATTCCATGGTGCCACAAACTCCTGAAGTCCATTGGACACGCTATCATGCTGGGACAACAACATACCAACCAGCTCCCCAATTTCACTGGAAGTCTCATCCACACTTGTCTGCAGAGCAGAATCTTTGAAAACCAAGCGAAATTTCTGTATGGCATTAGCTCCTGACCCTCATTAGGCTGATGACAAACTTGGTATATAAGTGGGCACATCTCAGAGAAGGGAACATCCCACTCTGGACCCACGCAGTCTTGGTTATAGCAGCTCAGGGCCACCAGGGACCTAGAGCAGAGATTTAGGAGTGAATACTAAACCCTGGTAGGCAGAACCTTGCTCAAGAGAGGTCCATACCTAGGTGCAGCCTACCTCTCAGATTCTTGCTAATATCTTCTGTGGCATGGAAATGAATATTTTATAGTTTATGAGCAGAAATCATTAAAATTACATTTCATTTATGGGAAAGGAGAGGGCATGCAGTTTCCAAGGTTTTCTTTTAATAAATTTCATTCTTCCATAATGTCAGTTTGGTCAAATGGTTAAAGGATCAAGCAAAAAACTAGGTCACTGAGTACTAGTTCATCCTTAGAATGAATGCTGGCTAGGTAATTTTGGGCCAGTCTCTCTCAGCTCAACCCATGTCACAGGATTGCTGTTGTAGGGAAAACCAGCACGAGGAAGGAATTTTAAATTTGTCCACTGCCTTTGTTATTTTCAAAAAATAAAGGTGGGATATAAATAAATAAGTGATCTTTTTAATCACTTAATCTATTTTTAAATAAGACCTAAGTCCTCTACCCCATGACTTTTCTATGTTTCTGAGCAGAGATGGGGATTCTTACCCAGAGAAGCCAGATTCCTGGAATTCTCCAGCATGACTTGTCCATGGAGAGCTTTTTGGTCAGCATCCAGTTGAGACCACTCCTCCTCGGAGAAATACACGGCCACTTCTTCAAAAGACACAACAGCCTAAACAAGGAAACAAGTTTTCCTTTGAGCAGATAGCCCCAATTCAAGGAGAGAGAACCAGTGAACAAAATGGGCACCTTGTGCAGAGTTCAGAATTACATCTCACTGCTTTTGACTGACACACAAGTGAAGCACATTGGATCACATTGGAAGTATTTGGAATGCCCTTCAGTGTAGACAACTAAAATAGTTTTCTTGCTCAATTGGTAGTTTGGTCTTAAATTCATTAGTTATCAGTAGTTCCAATTCTTCCTAGGGTGGGCAATTCCAAATAGTGGCAAAACCCACCTGATATTTTTGTCAATGACTTACTTTATCCACTGAGGAGCAAAAATAACCCAACTCCACACCTTCATGATGGTGTTGGAAGAGCTTTGAACGGGATATCTCTATGGAGATTCTCTGTCACCAGGTCATGCTTGACTCAAAGATGCTTTTCAAAAGGGAAAAAAAGGTATTTTTTGTAATGGTATGTGAGAATGACTTGGGGAGACCAGGAGAGAAAGAGACCCAGTGATGACAACAGTCCGATCAAAGAAATCTGTGGAGCAGAAGTAAAGAAAGTGTCGTCCAAAGGATCCCCTCAGAAGTGAAAGGACACACGAAGCGAAATATGAATTATGAATCTAATATCAGATTCGTATTGCTTAGAAACAGCAATTTATTACACTCAACTCCAGAGCAAAATGAAACCCACCCAAGATTCATGGACCTTTTCTGATGTTTCTCCTCCTTACCCGACGTAGTGGTTCAGCTAATTCTTCAGCTCCAGCACAAAGAGGAGGTGATTCTAACATTTCCAAGGAGAGCCTTCTACTCTCTGTGAGAAAGAGAAAAATGGTGGAAGCGGATTAGTTTGAGACATTCTAATGAAGAGGAGCAAAAGAATGAGTTAAATGTTATTTCTTTATGTGTGTTGAAATCTCACGTCACACAGAAAGAAATTTTCTTACCTCGAGTGGTGTCCTGACTTTGATCTTTGTGTAAAGTCTCCCTGAAAAGCAGCTTTTGAAAAGATTTAAATGAATCCTTCCTGTTTTTGGGATAATCAGTCAAGGATTTCTGGACATGATATGAGACAAGAAACAAAGAGTATCAGTGAATTATCATACTGCACTTTTAAACCAGAAGACCCCACTGCCCATTGCTGAAATTTGAAAGAGAATGGAAAAACTGACCCAAAAACATTTTCTGGAAGAAAAATGGAACAACTGGCCTTAGGTGTTAATTATCCCAGAAAACTCTGCAAAAATTCACAAATTCAGAGAGCTCCCTTTTAGAGCTGCTAAGACTACATTCACAGACCTGCAACTCTTCTTGCATCTTTTCCGACTCCTGAGCCATGAGGAAGCCTTCGGCCAGGGCCACTGCCTGGGAACTGGTCTCTGTTCCACATTCCCGCACCCATTGCTCCATCTCTGGGGGAAGAACAGCCAGGAACTGCTCCAGGAGCACCAGGTCCAGCATCTGAGCCTTGGTGTGTCTTTCCGGCTGCAGCCATTGATGGCAAAGGCGGTGAAGCTGACTGCAAACATCTCGGGGATTCTTCCCCTCCTGGAACTGCACTTTTCTGAAGTCAACCTCTGAGCTGTTGGCTTCTTGGCTCTTCTGCCCAAGAATTGCCCTATTCTTCGGACAGCCCCAAGGGTGAGCAACAGGAGGGCCTTTTCCAACTCCTGCATCTGCTGGGTGTTGTCCCTCCAACTTTTCTCTGGTCTCTAATCCAGCTTCAAAAAGGATGGATGTATCTCCCATGTTTTACTAATCAGAGGATGTCTGACCATTCAACCCACTTCCCACAGAAGATACTTTGGACTGCAAGGGAACCAGGAAAGATTTCCAACTTATATATCTGAAATGGAAAACAAAAGAAACTTCCAGAAATACAGGCTGACCAACTTACCAACAAAAAACCAAACAGGAATTCCTTGCTTTATGTAAAAAGGAAAGCTATAAAGGTTTCCATTTTTTTTCAATAAATTTTCTTCTTCTATAA